CTGTATGCGAAGATTATCCTGAAAATGTTCAGCTATTCATTTCAAATGATGACATAATTTCGCATCTTCATATGTATTATGTTAGGTACACAAAATTAACTTTGTTATATTCGTTCCTTCGCTTTTAATTCTCTCAAACCGTTAATATATATTCCCTTAAGCATTAATCACACGACAGAAAATATTGTCTACAATCAGACAACTCTACCAAAATATTATGGGTTGATATTGATGGGATGTCGTCTTTCACCCGAATATCATCAAAAATGGATGGAGGCACAGAATTTCTTTTGGGCCCTTAGCAGCATGATTTTTGGAGATTTTTATGATGATCACGTAGGATTATTTGCCATTATCACTTCAATTTATCTGGTCTTATGATATACTGATTTTCTTACTAATTACATTCTTAATAGAAAACAGAGGAATTGTTAATGCTATTAAAAATTAGCGCTGATGCATCTCCAACCTTTAGAATGAAAGCTTGGGATTCAATAATAACTTCTTTAGCCAATTCTGCACCCCTGACGCGCAAAGTACATTTTATGCTAAGGTATTGCATATAACATGCATCTTCTTTGTATAAATTTGCAAGAAAAGTGACAGAATTATTCACAATTTATTACGGTAGATTATATCAATATCTCAACCGCGATTCAATAGAAGATGTACATTCATTTTGCAAAAGTCATGGATTTGATGCTTTGCCACAGGTGATTATTTATATATCTTACATTATTAAGATTATACATTGGTCTTTATAATAATTATTCGTTATTATTGTTTAGTTTATTAATGTTATAAAAGATAAGAATTCAGAAGATGGGGCTCTGCGTAAATGTCTGGAAATATTGCATAACTATCTGAATATTTCTTATTCGTATCAAACTGATGAAGGTTTGAAATTTAAATCATTCACATTTTATATTTGGTTATGATGTGTGATCATGAACTTTATCCTTCCATTCAATAGTAATTTACGCTTACTTGAAATCATGGAAAACTCGACAAGAATTTGTATCTATTCTTTTATTGTTTTTGCATCCGAATGTTGACCAAGAATTTTATACAAGAGCATCAGGTAAATTTTTCATGCTAAATTTTATACTATTTTAATAATCGAGTTAACATAAATATTCGAAAATGTTAGAAATCCTTTGTTTATTACTCAAGATGAAGCCTACAAAGGATATCGCACATACAATACTACAACGGCTTATTGATAGTCATTCGAAATGGCAACGAGGGACTGTCACTAGTGAAGGTATTCTCTAAAGGTTTTAGTAAATATGTGTGTTTTTTTTTTTTCTAACTTTTCGAAAAAATTAATTATTGAATTCACCAGATTTACTCATGAAATTCGGCGGAAATCGCTCGATTTTCCATCAATACAAGTTAATCGATGACGAATTCGATAATTATAGTGTTATGAATTTATTGCAAGGGCCTTCGATCCACGTTTTCAAACCTTATATGCAAAAATTGAAGAGAGAACAGGTATTACAACTGCAGGAAGTTTTATATAACCCATATTTAAAGTTCGTGGAACAGGTTATTGTAACTGGCATTGAATTCGAGCAATATGATAGAGTGGTTCAACTTTGTAAGTCTTGGGTCGTTTCGAGAACAGGCTTGTTTCATCTTATTAACTTTTGTTCGCTACTTTTGTATAGGCTCATTAGTAATCCTTGAAATGATGGACATTGACATCGAAAATATATTTAATATAATATTGGGGTTGTATGAAAAATTATCTACAAATGGTCAAGTTGCGAATATATATGGACATGTTTACTTTACAACATTAATTGAACGCCTTTTAAATTCGAATCCGCATATATTAACTAAGCATATTTCAGAGAAATTGAACGTGCTCAGATCATTGATTAATATTGTAAGTTTGCTTAAATCATTTACTTGGTCAATTTGGTGCCTTATTCAATTTTCATATGTTCCTTAGGTCAAATTAAACAAGCCTGAGTTTATGCAACCAATTGTTTCAAAACATATTCAGCAACTAGCCACTAATGTTAAAACGCTCAAAGAGAAGCTTGAATTTAACGACTTGGCTTCAATTAGCATGATCATCCAAGAGTTAATTCAGGTATTATACCGATAAATTTGAACGTTTAATGAATATTAATAAATTAGGTCAAACGTTAATTTCAGTAATCTATTCATTAAGATTTTACAAGTTCTGGTAATCACAATATCGAAAAATGATCTTCCGACAGATGATCCGCTTACTCAAGTTTATTTAGACAGCTTGAAGGATATATCTACAGATAAATTAAAAATTTTTCTTGGGCAGTTTGAAGGATTAGAAAATGATGTAATTAAGATGGATTCGCTTCTTAATGAATTGACAACTCAACAAGATGCTATGATGGGAAATGGTGGTGAAATGACACTTCATGAACTTAATAAGGATGATAGTAATGTTATTGGGAGTACGGGAATAATGAGTGAATGAGTGTTTATTATTGTATTATCATTTCCATTTATTCGTTATCATTTCATGTATGATATCAATATTTTAATTTTTCAACGACTATAGTTTGTAGTATATTATATATATATATTGTTATATAACAAATTTATTTCTTGAAAGAAATAAAAATAGTAACTCACTATAATTTTATTTAAAAGGAAATGTTGCTTTGATAATTTTATAATTTCGTATATTGTTAAAATCCACCTGATTTGATTGTCGATCCTTGAAATTTTTATAAGATTACATTCGATTATATGATAAATCATTATTTTTTTTTATTTTTAATGTTTGTATATGATTACAATTTAATATCAATAGATTTTTACATATTTTTGATATTATCTAAAAACTTATAATTTACTCTCAGCCAATGTTATCTGATGAACAGCGCCTTTCCAGTATTGGATTTTCGAATTTGTGGAGGCTTAGGTCAAGGGGAGAGCCTACTACCTATTATTATAGATTCAACTCTATAAGAAATAGATCATCCATTAGTCGGTTAATACTAGAAGTTCAACACCTGGGGACGTATGCGGTCGCTCTGGCTCTAGAATTGCAAGTTTTGAAATTCAAATGCAGAAAAATAATAACACAAGCTTGTGTATTAAATTGGATATATACATATTAGCAAGAAATCTAACATATATATTTTTTGTTAGTTTAATGATGCCTATAAAGAAGTTTGTAGTATTAATAATATAAGGATAGAGAAATTGAAAAGAAAACTTAACAAAAAGCAAAATTTTAAAAATATAGATGATTTATAATAAAATTTTTAATATAATACTATTGTGTTATTTTATATTATAAATACTATATTTATTAAAAAATTTGTATTCAATTATTTTTTAGTAAAGTTTTTTGACAATATTTTAGAATTGCATATTGGGTTAATTAGTTTATTATTAGATTTGTTATGAAAAAATTCATTTATTAATCAAATATTAAGTAACTATATAGTTCAAAATTTAAAAATAAAAATTTTTTTTATAGCAAATAATATAAAAAATATTTTTGATTTTTAAGTAATATTTGAAAAAATCTAGTTTTTGATATAAAGTTTATAAGTATTCAAAATAAGATTTATATAACTAATATTATATCCCTTAAACTGTAAGCTTTTTCAGACAAATTTGTCTAAAAAATTATCATAAATATACTTATGATCTATATTTTTTAATTTTTAAAATA